TTGGTTTGAAAGAGTGTCAGGAGCATATCCACAAGATTATGATCTCTCTCTCTCTCTCTCTCTCTCTCTCTCTCTCTCTCTCTCTCTCTCTCTCTCTCTTCAAAACATGTCCAAAATGTCGAAGGGATTTGCGCAAGTTAGTTCTCCGACAAGGTCGAGATCAACATATCCACCAGATTTTAGTGACTTAGGATATTCTCAAATCTAAAGACTTTATAATATAGGAGATGTCTCAACAACACTATGAGTTAACCAACGTTTCTCAACAGAGGTAGTTAAGAGGTTCAAAGCAGTTACCAACACATCTATCAACATGATGGTTGGTGTTCTGGACTAGGACGACACTTGGCCCACAGTCGAACAGGCCCAACCCCACATCGGGTTGGAAGGCCCAATAAGACCCAAACCACTTCCTCGTCGAGCAAAGACCTTTCTCCCGTCGGGCAGAACCTTTTCTCCCATTGGACACGACCCTCTTGGCAGTCGAGCAGGCACCTCACATCTGCCAGGCACGCTATCCTTCTGCCCAACCGTCGGGAAGACCCTATCCGACTCGGGGGGACTCCTCTGACCCCCCCTCCACGTTCTCAACGCGTCCCCACGTGGAGGCACGTCTTTTGGTAACTACCCGTGTCTTGATTATTCGGTCCACCACCTCCCGGATAGCACGAAGCAGTTACACTAGGGCGAAGACCATGTGTTGGTCTTCCTGACGCCACGTCAGCCCTAGCAGTTACCAGCATTGAGCCTGACAACCCAGTCCAACACGAAGTAATCGTTAGCTCTGCGCTGGGGGCACACTATAAATACCTTCTTTCACTAGAGGGTCAGGTAATCTCATTCTTACTTCTCTTTCTTTAGTTGTTATCACTCTGCCCGACTCTTACTTTGGCATCAGAGTGTGTTTCAGGTACACCCCGTCCATTCTCCCAGCAGTTAGACAACTCAGACGTGTGGCTGGTCAGTGACTCCTTCTGATCAGGTGAGATCAGTTGGTTTTAGTAATTTTATTCTTGAAGACACGTGGAAGCAATGTATAACGATGAAACCTACATAATGGGATACACGTCAGATCATTATGATCTATCCGTTGTCAACGATTACTATTATATTAGTATATAAGTCAATCTCAATGTTTCGGATCGAGGTTGCAAATTTTCACTTATTTCCTATAGAACTAAATTATCCATGTCACAGAGAAAAAAGATAATGAGAAATATATGAGTTTACATCCATACTTTAACTTTCTTTAAAGTTCTTTGAATCAAAACATTTATTTTATGACATTTATTATACTTTTTCTTTACTTTATCTTTTTAAAACAGTTCTTCATTTACGTCCAAGTTATCAATTTCAATCCTTTAAATATCAACCATAAACACTTTTCTTTGCACTCTTATACGCAAATTATTTTTGAATTTAATATTTTAATAAATCAAATTCGTAATTTTTTTATTAGAGTGAACAATATTATATTAAACAAACTACTTTACTAGTGATATGATAGTTATATAACTTTGTATGATTGTAATATTTAAAATAATCTAAATTAGGCAGCATTAAATTAAATATAATAATTAAAAAAAATATCTAAATCAAATATCCCTTAATTTTGTTTTTGAAATTTAAATACAATATCGCTTAACTTTGTTTTTAAAGTTTAAATCAAATGATTGTTTATTTTAAAATTGAGAGCACTTCTAATTTTCGGCAGACATTCCTTATCCAAATGTAATGTAGTATATTTAATTCTATTATTTTAAGTTTTCAATTAAATAATTATATCAACAACATTTGCTAGGTTGGCAATGTCATCGGGTTTACACGTATTGAGTTGAGCAAAGAAAAGTGAGAAACATTTCGACGAATATTGAAGTGTTAGCAGACATGCAAGGCCACACAAAATACTCATGTCACTCGCTCATCAGTGGTCCAAATTCTTATTCATGTCAATTTAAGTGATAATCATCAACTATATTTACAAACTTTGCATTATTCACATTCTTACCATTGCAGTCCCTTTCATAGATTTCCTCCATCAAAAGTCTTTTTTAATTGAGACATTATTATTGAATATTGACATCTCTTAATTCAAATTTTAATATGGGATCACCATATTATAAAATGATTATTTTTTATTTATTTTTGTTTAATCTTTTTTTAGAAAATTATTTCACAAGTCAAAAATATAGTTTATAATAAATTTAGAGTTTAATAAATATGTATTTTCAACATAAAGAAATTTTATACGATTGTTTAATCTTTTCTAGAAAATTTAGAGTTTAATCTTTTTTTAGAAAATTATTTCACAAGTCAATCTTTTTTTTATACGATTGTTTTAAAATGTCACAATGATTTAGAATGTATTAGATTCATTGGATGATTATCTAAAGTTATTTAAATTATATGTTTTTTAAATTGTGTGAAAGGTCCAACGCCTTGTAATTTGAAAAAAAAAAGAGAAAGTAATATATTTAACTATTTTTCTTTTATTAAAAAAACGAAGAATAAACAATTATAGTTAATAACACGTAGGGATGACAAACAACATAATTTAGGCGGAATATTATATTATATATGTTCTCATATCTACTATTTAAAAAAATTGTCGTATCTAAGCACATTGTGAGCATCAATGTATTTACCTGTACTTGTAACTGTACTTGTAACTGTATTTGATGTGTATCTTACTATCCATACTTGATATTTACTTTAATACTCATACTCATACTTATTTATCTGTATTTTTAATAAAAAAAATAATATATATTTTTTAATTTATCGTGTTATTTTAAAATTTTAATAACATTAAAAAAACATTCAAAGGATGATGTTATTGAGTTAAAAGAAAAACAAACATTTATATTAAAATGAATAATAGTGATTTATTTAATAAAATTGATAAATTAACTTTATACATAATAATAAAAGTAAAAATATATAAATATGTGTTGTGAAAGTATGAGGCGGAGTGAATACTAAGATGCGTCCCGCTTATTTTCTTGAGTAATTGTTTGTTTTAATATCCGTACTAATTTTATGAGTTTTACGATATACATTATGATTTTTTTTTTACAGAAGTCCACCGGAGATAAGTCAAATTTTCATCCCTAATAACACATGATTTTGACATATGATGTTCTCATCCAAATCAAAGATAAATTTACTTGCTTTTCAATTTAATTTTGAATGATTAATTAAAAAAGTCAGATTTGATACAATCTAATAAATTTTTATATGATTTAATTTAAATCAATTTTTAAATGTTAAAATTATAAATTATAATTTTTATTAATAATATTAAACTTTATAAAATAATATATATTATAAAATAAGAGCATCTTTAGTGGGAGTATCTTAAGTGGGTAAACTAAGATATATTTTGTAGGCCCAAAGTGATTTGTAAGATTTACAAAATTTATAGTTGATTTAAATTGTTTTTACTTTAATGATAATTGCTTATAGGGCTGGAAATGAGTCGAGTCAAGTTGAACTCACCTCAACTCGGCTCGACTCGTTAAGAATTGTTCGAGTTCGAGTTCGACACGAACTTTTTTTAAGCTCAAACTCGACTCGTTATAAGTTCACGAACAGTTCGGTTCGACTCGTTAGGTTCATCTCATTAGGTTCAGCTCACATGATTCACGGAATTAAAAACTATTTTTTAAAAAATATATATATTTTAGTATATTTGATATTTTAAATAAATATATTTTTTTAAAATAAAATATTAAAATAAAATAAAAGTTATCATATTGAAATTTAACTTTATCTTCGAAATCTACTAATTCAAAACCTACACAACTTTCAAGAGATACATTTGAGAGTCTAATTCAAAAACTACTAAATTGAAGATTAAATTTGTCTAAGATTTGGAGTAAATATTTAAACCTAATCTTAAAGACAGTATAATTCTTCTCATATGTAATCGAGTTGACTCATGAACCTAACAAGTCAAATTATGTATAGTTCAAGTTCAGCTCATTTAGTTAACGAACTTAATTTTTCGCTCATACTCAACTCATTTGGTTCATGAACCTAGTTCAACGATTTAATTGTCGAATCGAATTTTGAACTATTTTCGAGTTGGTTCGGTTCATTGTCAGCTCTAGTTGCTTATAAAAAACTAAAACTTGACCCTATATTTTATATTTTTTAATTGTAATTATTTTTTTATTGAAGTTACCATTAATTTAGTAATATAAATAATAATATTATATCTTTCAAAATAAATAACATAGTTAACTATATAATTGTCGAAAACTAAAAGTTAATGAATTAAATGTCATGTCATATCCATTCCAATGCAAATTCTTTATAATCATAGTTAACTATAAAAAATTCAAGTATTAAAAATCTTCAAGTATTAAAAATCTGTATTAAAGATGCTCTAATATTACAAAATAAAAATAATCACAAAATAAATAAAATATAAAAACAAATCAATTAAATTAAAATTAAATAAATAATATTAAAAAATAAGTCTCAATCAACAATGAATTTATATTATTTCAACACCCTACCCTAATTTAACATTAAATTTATATAAAGATTAACTAATTAAATAAGTTATCCTAACATTTATAAAATCCCCACCTAAAAAAATAGAAAATGACATAATAACCCCACAAAACAAAGATGGTAGAGTATGTGCATTAATCACTATGCAATTCCAATTGTTATTCTTCTCTCCTTTTTCTTCTTTGTCGTAACTAAGATAGAGACACCATTCAACCTTTTCTTCTTCTTTCTTTCTTCCCCTTCACATATATATTCTCTTCCCCATTCCGATTTCTTCTCCCAATTTCACACTCTTTCACTTCCCAATTCATCTCTCTTTTCCCTAAACAGTCATTTTTCCCACTTTCGTTCTTCAATCATCGCAAACAATTTTTGTTCTTCAAATTTGGGTCTTGTTTATAATAACCCTAATTAACTACTTTCCTCCGTTTTCTCGGCGATCAAACGGAGGAGAAGGATTTTCAATTAAACATTGGAAAATGCTAGGTACTGCACTGCAGTTTGGAGGTGTTCGTGGTGGTGGTGGTGACGATCGGGTTTATATTCCGGTTAAGGCTAGGAAGAATCAGAACCAGCGTAAGCAAGCTCAGAAAGCTAAGAATGGTGAAGAGGAAATTGCAGATTCAGCTTTTGATGATAATAATAATCCCAAACAATGTTTGGACTCACCATCGACTGTTCCCTCGGTAGAGTCTGTTAGTAACATCGATAGGTTCTTGGATTCCACTAAGCTATTGGTACCAGCTCAGTATTTCTCCAAGGTTTATATCTTAACTCCTCCTTGTTTTTATTAATTTTTTTTAACTTTTTGATGGTGGTTTTGAAATGCTGAAACAATGATTGCAAATGATTTTGAGTGTTTTTTGTTTGCTTTTGTTTTTGGCATTTCGTATTGTTTTCTGTAATGTGTAACTGTTGACAAGTTTAGGATGTATTGTAAATCAGTCCCTTAAATTATGAGTTTTAGATAGAAACCGAGGCCAATCCCTTGAGCCAGGGAGGACCACGGTGGGCGGCAAAGCTATCCTTCAAGTGAATTTAACACTGTTGCGGGTCCGGGTTGGCTTTGAACCCATGACCTCTGGTTAAGTTGGAAGACATCTCTTGAGTCCTTAAATTATGAGTTTATGTATTAGAAAATTAGTCCCTTAAATTAAAAAATGGCAATCAATTTAGATATCTCTTTTGCTGTATACAGACACAGAATCTTTGAAATTGTGGTGATAAATTTGGAAAAAAAGACTAAAGTGAATAATGTTGTTCAATTTAAGAGACAAGATTGAAGGAATCTTACAATTTGTAGGGCTAAAATGATCGCTTACTCGTTTTGAATACTTTACCTTTTCTTTATTAAGATGCTTATTATATACATAATTGGATGGTACAGTGTTTGGTTGTTGAGAATTTTGGTTATTATTGTTGTATGGTTCATTAATTTTTTATTTTTTTATTCTGTTATGTGTAGACGACAATGAGAGGCTGGAAGACTTGTGATGTTGAGTATCAGTCTTACTTTGCTCTGAATGATCTATGGGAATCATTTAAGGAGTGGAGTGCATATGGTGCTGGAGTCCCTTTACTTCTTGATCAAAGGGAATCTGTAGTTCAGTACTATGTTCCGTATTTGTCAGCTATTCAGCTATATGGTCAACCTACTGAGAAGTCAAGTGCCAAGCCAAGGTATTGCCATTTCATGGGTAAAATGGTTTTTTGTTATATGTGCATACATGTAGAGTTTAAGTTGCTTGCAAGACAACACTAACTGCTGGAAAATGGTTTAGTTGATGATAAGTGTGACTCCTTTGTTCTGTTGCTTTGTGGGTCGGTGATTTGTTTGTCAAGTAAATTGGTCTAATAGATTTTAAGTTGGATTGTGTTTTGTTGTTTCTGGTTGAATAAATGCAAGAGAAATAAACTTGTGGTTTTAATCTTCATAAATTTGTATGCATGCATGTGAGAGATAGATATAAAAACTGCAGGAGTTCAAACGGTGAAAGCCAGGAAGGTGATATTGAAACATCATGTTTTTCAAAAATGACATTGCAACCACAAATCACAATTCAGGATTTCACTCATAGAAAAAATGTCTAGTTTAGCTCACACATTTGATAAAATGAATAGTTCTGAATTTGCTAATAAGTACGGAATTTGTTGAATTCAAACACTGACATAGTGATATATAATGCTTTTAATTTCAAACCATTTTGCTGAAATTTGAACAAAACTGCTAAAGTGTAGTCTCTCTCTGTATGCACGTGTGTAGTGTAGTAGAAAGTCTTGCCATGAGTTCGGCTACTGCCCAGCACAATGTTTTGGGTATGGAGGATATGTTGTTAAAAAGAAAGTAAATATTAATACTCAATTAACACCCCTAGGATAAAATGATGACAATAAAAAGGCGAAAAGCAAAGTTTCCTTGGGAGAAAATCTTTTGGAGGGAGGATTTTGAGAGATCTAAGAAAGTGCTAATGATTTGTGAAATCAGATGAATAAGATTATTAGAAAGGAAGCCAAAGAAGCGCTGTGAAAATCGAGGGGTTTTGTGCCTAAGAGTAAATATTCTAGATTGTGTGATGACAACACACAACAAAAAATTAAGGTTACAAGAGATTGAAGCACAACACTTGTGTTGAATGGGCAAAATTTGAATAAATGTGGATAGCTAAGTAAGAAACTAAGAACAGAATTTGAAGGTTTATTGTCATTAGGAACTAAAGTAGGGGAACATAGTATCTTATAGACTTGCTAAAAGTAGGGAGTGACAAAAAGAGACTTAAACCCAAAGTTGTGAAAAGCGGTGCCATAGCATAGTGGGAATGACCATGGAGTGGCACTAAATACTTGTTATCTGCATTTTGCAGCAGTAGCTGCTGTAAATTAAGTCAAAATAGTGGCAAAATAGCTCTTTAGTGACCGCCAAATGTTTAGGGTTTGTAATGGCCTGTTTTACCCTCTCATATCCAATTTTAAATGTTTTTAGGGCTGTTTTATTATCATTTTGCGATTTTAATTTGAGTTTCTGTTGAGATATGATATTGTTTTATTATTAGTATTTATTGTTTTATTGTTTTTATTCTTAGTATTTTCTTTCCTCTAATTAGTATTTATTAGTATTTATTGTTTTATTGTTTTATTGTTCATTCCGATGTTTGGGGTCCTAGTCGGATTCCTTCTATCTTAGGGTATAGATGTTATGTTACTTTTATTGATGATTTCTCAAGGTGTAATTGGGTGTTTTTAATGAAAGACCGTTCTGAGTTGTTTAATACTCCCTCTATCCAAATTATAAGTCACTTTGCCAAAAAAATTTGTTCTAAATTATAAGTCACTTTACAATTCCAATGCAACATTAATGATTTTTTTCCCAACACACCATCTATCATTTATTATTATTTCTTCTTCAAATTCTTTAAATTTCTTTTTCATCTATAATAAATGAAGGGCACTATTTTAAAGTCATGCATAATTTGTCTTTCCCATACAACAATAATTATGTTTTTTAATTTGTGTAAAAGATCCAAAACGTCTCATAATTTAAGACGGAGGGAGTATTTAAAAGAATTTTTGATTTGAAATCACGACACAATTTGACAAAACTATTCACATTTTATGCAATGACAATGCAAAAGAATATTTCTCTGATTGTTTTAACTCTTTCATGCACTCCAAAAGCATCGTACACCTTAACAATATTGGTGTTGCTGAAAGAAAACATAAACACATTGTTGACGTTGCTCGTGCCCTGTTGCTAAATGCCAACGTACCTCTTAAATTTGGGGTGATGTTGTTCTTACTGCCGGGTATTTAATTAATCGAATGTCGTCCTCTATGTTGAATGATCAGGTTTCTCATTCCCTTTTGCACCCTATAGATCTCTTATATGTTGTTCCCCTCGTGTCTTTGAGTGTACTTGTTTTGTTCATGATTTGTCCTTAGGTCGTGATAAGATATCTGCTCGTGCTATCAAATGTCTTTTTCTAGGTTACTCTCGCGTTCAAAAGAGATATCAGTGTTACTCTCCTTCTACACATCGCTTTTACATGTCGACAAATGTTACATTCTTTGAGGACATACAATATTTTCCCAACCCCCTGAAACTGATTTAGATAAGTCTTACCTGTTATGTATTTTGAGTTGGTTGAGTCCACTCCTTCATCGTCTAGTCCATCCGTTGTGATAGACGAGTCTCCACCACTGTTGAACCGGCATGACATTACCTATTGAGAGAAGGTTTGGACCACGCGATTCATCTCTTGTTCCAAGTGCCTCCACTCTTGCTTCGACTTCGTCTCCTGATTTGTCAACTGCCATCTGTAAGGTAATCGTTCAACCCGTAACCCACTAACCCTTATCCTATTTATAAGTGTGTGTCTTCCCGTCGGTTATCACCTACCCAATGGGCTTTTGTTACTGCACCTGCATCTGTTTCTATTGCTAAAACTATTCAGGAAGCACTATCCCATCCAGGGTGGAGATAGCCAAAACTTGATGAAATGTTAGCTCTAGAATCTAATCATTCTTGGGAGCTTGTTCCTCTCCCTTGGAAACTCGTTGTTGGTTATAGGTGAATATTTAATGTTAAGGTGTGTCTTGATGGACATGTAGATCGATTGAAAGCTTGCCTAGTGGCAAAGGGATATACTCAATTTTATGGTCAAGATTATAGTGATACTTTTTCTCCAGTTGTGAAGATGGCATCTATCAGTCTCTTTCTGGCCATGGCTGGTATGAAGCAATGGTCTGTATTTCCATCGGATATCAAGAATGCATTCTTGCATGGTGACTTGGAAGAGGAGATTTATATGGAACGACCTCCTAGGTTTGTTGCTCAAGGGAGTGTATTCGGGTATGTAAATTGCACAAGTCTTTGTATGGGTTGAAACAATCACGTTAGACATGGTTTGGAAGATTTAGTAAAGTCTTGCAACAATTTGGGATGGACCATTGTATATCACCTCATTGTTTTCACCAAATGCTCCCCATCAAATAAATATATATATCTAGTGGTTTATGTTGACGACATTGTAAGTACATGTGATGATTTTGAGGGTATCAAAGCTTTAAAACAACACTTATTTCAAAACTTCCGGACTAAAGACTTGGGTCATCTTTGTTACTTTTTGGGGATTGAGGTTGTTCAATCAAAGTTAGGTATTGTTATCTCTTAAAAGAAGTATGCTCTTGATATTCTGAAAGAAACATGTCTTACAGATCGCAAACCGGTTAACTCCTATGGATCCTAATGTAAAGCCTCTTCCTAATCAGGGGGAACCATATATTGATCCAGGTAGATATCGAAGACTTGTAGGAAAGTTGAATTATCTTACCTTGATTAGACCCGATATATCTTTTCCAGTCGGTGTAGTAAGTCAGTTCCTGAACTCTCCTTGTGACAACGTTGAGATGCAATTATTTGAATCCTTAAGTATATCAAAGGATCACCTAGAAAAGAGTTTGTTTTTTGTGATAGAGGCAACACTGCTATCATTGGATATTCAGATGTTGATTAAACGGGAGATGCAAGTGATCGATGTTCTACATCGGGTTATTGTGTTTTTATTGATGGAAATTTGATCTCATGGAAGAGCAAGAAGCAAACAATTGTTGCTCAATGTACAAAAGCTGAGTATCGAGCCATGACCCATGCCACAAGTGAACTTTTGTGGTTAAAGGATTTACTTTAGGAACTTCATTTTTGTGAAGTCGGTCCTATGGAACTTGTATGTGATAACCAGTCAGCTTTGCACCTCTCCTCCAATCAAGTGTTTCATGAGAGGACCAAACACGTAGAAGTCGGCTGCCACTTTCTTAGAGAGAAGATTACCATCAAGACCATCAAAATCTCTTTTATTAATTCCAAGGATCAACTTGCTGACCTCTTTACAAATCTCTTTGGAGATCTCGGATTACTTATATATGTGACAAGATGGATGTTTATGATGTATATGCACCACCTTGAGGGGGAACGTTGAGATATGATATTGTTTTATTATTAGTATTTATTGTTTTATTGTTTTAGTTCTTAGTATTATTTCCCCCCTAATTAGCTGGATTGGTTAGTATATCTTTTCCTTAATACTCCTTACTCATTGACAAGAGAGAAATTATAAAGGTTAATTATAATTATCAAGTATGATTGCCACTTAAATTGTGTTTTTGTTTTTTAATTCTTAACTTTTGACTATTTATGTATACTGTTGGGATTTATGTTTAACTGTACCACTTTAGCCTTTTTGGGGTTGGGAGTTTTGCACTGCCAACTAAGATTAACAACAGATCAATGTGAGATGCAGTAAGGTTGATGACGAAAATTGTTCTGTGAACAAGGTATCAAAGATGGAAGAGTAATATAAATACTTAAATGAGGGTAATAACTTTTTGAGTCATATTATGACAGGAGACAAACATCACTAGAAATCAATTTCATTTTAAATCAAATTATTAAGAGAGATTGAAAAGTAAATGGTAATAGTGAGTTAATGCACCACGTGGTTAAATGATCACTAAAGTTCAAGGCAGTTATGCAGCATCTCTGTTTTGATTTGTATTTCAACTGTTTTGATATAATTGGTGGAAAAAGTTTGGCTGTCAACTGGAAGAGAGTATAAAATGTTTGTGCGCGAGGTAAGCGGAGACCCTGCATTTGAGGGTATTTAGAGCCTTCTTATGTTTGATAATTGATATGGAGCTTATCGAATAAATCTTAAATATCATTCCTTTTATTACTTCAGGGTTCCCTTAGTATTGTGAAGTGAAGCCAGTAGAAATAGAGTATATCATATCATATCTCACACCTTCCAATTTGGTCCTTCTCTTCATTCCATACAATTTTCACCCTAACTAAGAACACTTCAAACTTTTAGAAATAAAATTTTTTTGGTTTAATTTGGTCCTTGTTGCCATCAAGATATCAGCTGAGCTAATAAAATATAAATTGGTATTGGATTTTGATGAACTAGTGATTCATTATAGGATCTCAATGTATTGGATCTGATAGTTTTTTGCGTTATTTTTTATTTTTTTATAATACTCTCACTCCCCCCGTATGACACCTAGTGAATTTAGTTTTGCTATTTTGATATGTGTTCCCTTATTGTCCTACTTTGCAATTATAACTCCTGAGCAATGTTAAAAAATGTGCCACTCATGAACCATGATTTGAATCTTATAAGCTATTAGTTATGAATTAGCTTGTAATCAACCGGGTAAAATTTTATTATGTCATTAGGTACACAAGTGAAGATAGTGATGGTGATTACTACAGAGATTCGTGTAGTGAAGGAAGCAGTGATTATGAATACGGAAAAAAGACTGAATGTCTTACAGCACAGAGAAGCAGTAAACACCTGACAAGTAGTATCTCTTCTCAAATGAGCACACTGTCTATACATGACAGACACAATACAGTACAAGAAGGCTTTTCTAGTAGTGATGATAGTGAAACTGGGAATCCTCAAGAACTTCTTTTTCAGTATTTGGAACAAGGTCATCCTTATAGCCGTGAACCGCTGACCGACAAGGCAATATCTCATCTTAATTAATTTGTGGCTTTTTAACCCTAAACCTGAACAGTCCATCTTATATTTTACAATATTTGGACAGATACTAGATCTTGCACGTGATTATCCTGCCCTCATGTCATTGAGAAGTTGTGATTTATTGCCATCTAGTTGGATGTCTGTTGCATGGTGATCTAATGCTTAACTTCATATCCTTTTTTCCTTGCTGTTTTGTATAGACATAACAAGGTTAACTTGACCTGATGCTTTAGTGTTGATTTTTTTGTCTAATAACATTTAAAATGTCATTTTCTAGGTATCCTATATATCGAATACCTACAGGTCCCACTTTAAAAGATTTAGATGCCTGCTTTCTAACCTACCATACACTCCATACACCCTTGACAGGTAATTATGCAACTTCAAGTCTCTGTTTTTGTCTTTGAAATATTTTTCTCGTCATTAAGTCCTTCAACAATGCAAAGTTTCATCAATTTGTCCTCCAAAGATTTTTTTACCATAATTTTTATATAAATAATGTAAGTGTTAAGAAATGTGGTTGAGTCTAATTCAACCCTACAAAACCGGTTGGTAGAGTGAGGATTGCCCTTATTTATAAACACATGTTCAGGCCATATATTGTCCGATGTGGGACCGTTATCGGTAAGTGTTATCAATTTAGTAGTCCCTTAAGCATGCATAAATCAAAATTCTATCTGTTCAACAATGAAGGACCAATTTGGTGATGCTTTTCGAATTGTTACTTAAAAACTAAAGCTGAGATACTTTTATTTTTTGGAGGATCAAAATTGGGGTCTTTCCTTTATTCTCTATAATATCAGTTGGAAACAATTAACACACTATTCCTTTTTTCCCCCTTCTATCTGCTAGATAAAAAATGGGCATCCTTTCCAAAGGCTTGTATCCAATGAATTTCGTTGTCTTTCACTAGACTTTTCTAACTCTTGAGAGTAACAATTGCTTCCTCAACTTTTATAAATATAGATACCATCTTCTGCTGTATGTGTTTGTGCCGGTGTTTTAGCACTGAAATAAGCATTCTAAATTTGTTTAGGACTGATTATTAGAAAGTGGAAGAAGATGAATAATTCATCTTCTAAAACTCAGAGAGAGAATTTTGTGTATTGTATTGATTAGAAATGGATTGATTACATTGCAATAGCTTGTGCAAGGTTATTTATAGGGAGATGTAACTAACGGAATTAGTTACAGTCAGTTGCTTGTTGTGCTGACTCAGCACAATTAGTTATTCTGTTTTGATATCGAATGCATGGATCATACACTTTGTTTTGAGAGGTATGTTTGACCTAAAAGCATAGCATGACAGAAGTAGGCATTAACAGCGGTTGGATCAAACCAGAGGAAAATCCACCCTTCACCAAGGACCTGCCAGGATCTGGATGCTTCAGCAGCTGTGGTGGTAGGCTGTCCAACTTGAGTGAAGCTCATCGCACTTCGGTAGTTGTTCTAGTCAGTCTCCCCCTCGATTCAGACACAATACCCACGCCATGTCCATCATAGTGTCCGCCGATTCCAAGAAATTTGCAAGAACCTGCCTTTGTCTCTTGTCACTGTTCCACAGTGACATTCACGAGGAAATTTTTTGCATCTCTTTCTATTTTTGTGGTTTCTACATTTTCCTTGTTTTTCTCTTCTGTTGCCTAAGTGAGAAAAAAAATTCTTGGACAGTTTCTTTTTGTTGAAGGTTGAATGTGTGAGGCAATGATGACTCTATTTCCAATTCATGTTCCTCTTCTTGAATTTCAGTGTTGCCTCTGTTTTCCAGTTCTTCCTTTTCTGAATCAACAAGACAATCCAAAACTCTTGGTTGAAATTTCTTTGAGAATAGCCTTTGAAAAATCCCACCAACAAGTATTTAGATGGCTCTCCTTCCAAGAAATCCATCAATCAAGAGCATCTCCTCTCAATGCAAATGCAACAGCCCACTGAAGCTTCATCTCTTCACTTATTTTTCTTGATCCTAAATATTGCTCTGCCTGGATCAGCCACTAACAGGCCTCCCTTCCAGCAATTCTTGGAATCAAATCTGTAGTCTTCTTCATGCCAAGATTTCTAGCACACCCTCATCTTAGAATTTGGGTTGGGCCTAACTCATCCCTACAAAACCGGCTTGTAAGGTGAGGATTTCCCCCACTTATAAACACAACACAAACCATATCTCTTAGCAATGTGAGACTAAATTCACCCCTTCAAAGCCAACAGAATGAAGGTGTTAGGGGCTGCAATGAAGGCAAGCCAAAGTGCCACAATTAAGGCGACTAGGGGCGGACCGCAATTAAGGCGGAAAGTCCAATATCATAGTCTTCCTGGATCAGAACTGCCCTGATACTAGTTGATAGAAACCAACTGATATAACATAAGAAATAGGGAAAATCCCTTTGATTACAGAAGGACATTGCAGAACTTCGAGGGTCTGCACCTCCCTAATGCCAAAATGACCATTTTCCTATCAAATTCCTCGATGATCAACTTCCTAATGTCTTCCCCTATTTATTCTAAACCTAAACACTCTTAATTAATAATATAACAATGGTAATCACTACCCACTAACTCCTAATAATCTAGTATGTAACCGAAAAGTCTAACACAGCCAAGAAAGATGTATTCTTTGGAGTTGTAAGCAAATTCGGGAGGATTGTAGGGTCTTAAACTTGGGTAGTGGGCATAACCAAAAGTTTTAAGAAACATGTACTCAGGGATAACTTTGTGCATGGAAAAGTAAGGAGAGGTCATGGCTAGGGTGATAGTAGGCATATAGTTTATGAGATAGCTTGTGTAGAAAGAAAGAAGGAATGTGAATACTCAATCAGATACACTACAATGTGTAATGACCCTCATATTTATATTAATAGGTTAAAAGAGTAATACATAAGAAAGACAAATGGCCAAGCCCATATACTTAATACTTAATACTAAACTCTAGTAATACAATATTATAATATAACTCTTAATAGGTTGCAACTTGAAAATCATGGTCCTAGAACTTAAGAGGTATATTGGCCTGAGCTAGAAGAGCAAGACCAATTTCCACCAGATGATGCCTATCCTTTCTCTCACCAGATCCATTTTTGTGATATGTTTGAGGGCAGGTTAGTCTATGAGTTATACCTTGCTCAGTGAACGAGAGTAGGGTTTGAAATTCCCTCCTTCCATCAATTTGAACAGCCTTAACTTCAGTGTTAAACTGAGTGGCAATGAGAATGGTGAAGTGTGTGAGAGGGGACACACACTTCTGGTTTTAGCTTTAGAAAAAAGGTCCAAGTGTATTTAGTAAAAGCATCAACATATGTAAGTATTTATAGCGAGAAGAGATCATAGGTTTTGTCCCCAAACATTAGCAAATCAAAGAGAGCAATATAAGAAGTAGTTGAAGTTAATGAGGGTAACATGTGAGCTTTGCCCAAGCAACAAGCAGTACAGAAATCAAATTTGGATTGCATAGGTATAGGAATGTTACACAGAGTCAGATTATCCTTTAGTGCCTCATGATGAGGGTGGTCTAATCTATTGTGCCACATCGTGTATTCAGAAGGTCCTATATTAGTGGCAGTATAATTTACAATAGAATTGAAAGCTACAGGTATAGTACTGGTGAATGTGTGAGCATGACGTGATTTGAAGTTTATTAGTACTTGATTATCTTTTGGTTTATGTCTGTTGAGTCCGGTCATGAATTTGCTTCTTCGTTGGAAGATTTTAGTGCATCTTGAATTGTAAGTAATAGTTGGTTATGATTGGCTGATGCGTTTAAAATTTATTTCATACTTTTTTTTTAGTTCCACATTGCTTAGAGATATGGCATGTCGTGTGTTTATAAGTGGGGGCAATCATCACTTTACAAACTGGTTTTGTAGGGATGAGTTAGGCCCAATCCAAATTTTGAGATGGTATCAGAGCCTATCCTAGATCTATTATTGGGCTTCCCGCATCGTCCACGCTTTGGGCTCATTGAGGCCCAAGTGTGAGGGGGTGTGTTGGGCTTTCCGCCTTAATTGCAGTCCGCCCCTAGTCGTCTTAATTGCAGCACTTTGGTTTGCCTTAATTGCAGCCTCCTACACCTTCATTATGTTGGCTTTGAAGGGGTGGATTCAGTCCCACATTGCTTAGAGATATGGCATGTGTTGTGTTTATAAGTGGGCCGGTTTTGTAGGGATGAGTTAGGTCCAACCCAAATTCTGAGAAAAGTGATAGAACCAGATTTTGCTGGCTGCAGTTGGCCAAAGGAATAGAGTCCATCCTTTCCAAGAGATCCTTGTAATAATACTTAAGATGTAGCCTGATTTTTAACAAGACACAAATCAGGATGAAACTAGTAAACTTGATTATCCTTGGCAAATTGACTCACAGAGATCAAGTTTTTAGTGATATTAGGAACAAGAAGCAAGTTGTTCAGGATTAACGTAGTGTGTGGTTTGTGTGATGAGTGAAAAGTAGTGGATTCAATGGAAGTTATAGGCAAACCTTGTTCATTGCCAAGCATCACATGATCTTAACCAGGCCCTGGGATGCTATCCAGGAAGAATCACATGATCTGAACCAGGCCCTGGGACTAAAGTTGATTTTTGAAGGGATTTTGCTCCCCTCCACTCCCCTTCCATTCTCTCTTAGTAATTGAACCAAAACATCTCTCCCCTCCCCTCCCCTCCTCTCCACTACCTTCCAACCAAACACGCCTGAGATAATAGACTAAGAAATTTTAATACAACTTCCAAGAGTGCCTAACCACACTTTCCTTTCTTTAAGTGTTCATTATTTTAATTAAAATCTAGATACACTTGCTTTACAATTACATTGGTCACACCTGCACATGTAGTAGTTCTGCAGAACTTGTCACAAACGGCTGCATCATGCCGCCAAGTGTACAGCTAAGAACAGAGAATGCTAGTCTACAACTGATTTGTAACCATATTTTCTTATTGAATTGTTATGAAGGATAATTTAATAGAACTTTGACACTTGAAATTGACAAATATGGAAAAAAACAGACTGATTCTTATAATGCATTACTCAACTTGCTGGTAGCTGTTATAATCCATGCTTTCAAGAACATGAAATATAATTTCTGTTTGTTGCAGTGTTGGCTGATTTAGTTTTCATCATATTTATTTTGGTTAGTTGCAGGAAGTGTTACTACGCCTGGTCTTACCCTGGTTTATCCTAGTGAGATGGATGGTATACCAAACATTTCCATACCTACTTTTGCAATGGCTGCTTATAAATTAAAGGGATCTATTTGGATGAAAAAAGAAGCCAGTGACAATCAAGTAATGCATTCACTCTTGCAAGCTGCAGATAAATGGTTAAGGCTAGTTCAGGTGACTCACCCGGATCATCAGTTTTTTAAATCACATGGCACATACTGCAAATGAGTTTAATGATATGATGTCATGCCAGTTCCATTCCCATGGTTAAAACTAAGCCTTAATTTCATTGTGTTGGTGCACACTTTAAAAAAGTCCATCCATCTGTAGAGATTGTGATGGCATGGTGTTGGCAGCCTAGTTGTTGGTTTTTGTTATACGCCTAAGCAGCACAAAAGATGAAAGCTAATCTCGAGCGGAAATGAAAAAGAAAAAAAAATAGTTCTTTTTAAAAGTGGAACTCCCTACTGAAAAGGGAGAAAAACAAAATATGAAACAAAAGTAAAAGTGAGTATGGCAAACAGATTAACAGAGAGGATGTGTGGGTTAAAGCCAGACTGTACAAGTGGCTACAGTTCAATAATGGCTGTGATCCCTTAAATTTCTGGACATAAATATTTACAGATGTTGTTATAATAGAAGAAATACTAGATTTTGCTGCGTGGCAAGGCACAGTTTTGGTAACTATCTGATGAACATCTTGTTGCTTTGATGACAGGAGAGATGGTGTTGTAATATTCTGTACAATTCAAATAAATGTTACACCCTTAATGTTGTGTTTTGGAATGACAGTTGTATGGTAGTATATGTTAGTGTTATGTCCCCTTTGGGACTAAAATGTCATTCCTTTGGATATATAGGGGAGAAACATATCATCGTCTTGTTGTTGTACTTACTGTACGATGTTAATATGTTCGGTGAAGATGTGATGCTAATTTTACTCTTAATGTTTTATGGTTTTGTATTTTTATTGATAGTTATGGGTTTATATGTCTTAACTCTCAAAAACCCATAAACATTTGAATTGAAAAATAATGAATACAACTTGACTGAAGAAAGTTAAAGAATATTTTGAGCTGAATTAAGGTTAGAGAAATGATATTTCTACACCCAAAATTGGGTGTCAAATAGGCGTCCTTTGTATTTTATGGTGTATCCGTGTATTTTTGAAATTCGTGAAAGTGTATGAGATAAAAAAAAAAGTAAAAGAAATAGAGACAATAGTATACGGTTTTTAAAGATGACCATTAGACATGTTTATTTTTTATTTTTTATTTTTATTTTGTCAAAGATAGATAGATTCCAATAAACAGATGCATCTACTTTGCCTAGACGACCTCCACCCAAAGCTTTTAAAAAGTTTAAGACATTCTTTATAATCAATAAAGTAAAATATAAAAAAATCAAATTTTGCTCAATCAGTTAAATATATTTTTACTTTTGAAACATACTGAATATATTTTTACTTTTGAAACATACTTTTGTTGTGTAAATTACTTTTGAAACGTACTTGTTGAAGAAAAAATCATTACACAAATAGATGATACTCAGAAATTCAGAATATTTCAGTATGTAGAGTTAGAACATACTTTTGTTGTAATTTACCTTGAGGTAGGGATGACAACCGGGCTGGGCGGGGACGGTTTTTGTATTTCCCAAATTCAAATTCGAATCTCAAATAAATTCTTGTTACCCGCTCCAAACTACAGCGGGGATGAATAATTGAACTCCAACCCCGTCCCAAATGGGTTCGGAGATTCCCGCCCCCAAACACAAATCCGGCCTCAAATCCAAATTTTGTTCCGAATTCAAATTTCGCCCCAAACCCAATATCTGTCTCAATCTTAAAAAAATATTAACTTGTATTACAAAAATAAAATACAATCTCGAAGAATTTCAAATATATATTTCGAATTATAAAATACAAACACATTCTTTTAAACACTCTAATAAAAAAACTAAGAGAATATAGTGCTTACAACAATCACATTCTTCTACAAACACAATAAAGTTTTAAAATTTAGAAGTAAAAATAAGAGATTAAAACTTACGGCAAACTTTTAAATACTCTAATAAAAAAACTAAGAGAATATAGTGTTTACAACAATCATTCTTCTACAAACCCAATAAAGTTTTAAGATTTAGAAGTAAAAATAAGAGATTAAAACTTACAGCAAAAATAATTTTGATGAGGATGTCAAGATGGTGATGTGGTTAAGATGGTGATGTCAACAATGTTTTAAGATGTTGATAACGAAAAGGAAAGTTCAATGATAGTGAGGGTATTAGAATATTGGAAGAGACATTACTGAATGATTAAAGTTTGTTTTTGAAATGTTAAAATTTTATTTTTTTAATAAAAGTCTATTAATTTTAATTAATATAACCAACCGTAAATGTATGTTCTGCAATGGTTCAACTTTAATTTTTAAATTAACCATTGTATATGTCTAATTGATAATCAGCAACTAATCAACGAGAAGTGAAAGAGTTAAAAATATAATGTATGATTTTATAAAAAATATTATGATTTTTTAAAATAATAATAAACGGGGTGGGTATTATAGTCCTCATTACCCGCCCCGTCCTCATATTTAAAAATCGAAAAAAACTCAAACCCAGTCAAAACGGATTTTCCCCGTCAAATTCGGGGCGAGTACCCGCGGATATGGGTTATATTGCCATGTCTAATTGGAGGGAAAATTACATAACAAAGTAGCTAAACATGCAATAAACCTCATGCTAAAAAAAATAAGGAAGAGACTTCCTAAATCTAAATTACCATATTTTGATGAAACGGAAAGCAAGCCAACAAAGGTGAACATTACTTTCATTAATCAAAATTTTCACTGTCATTTTTTTAATCAACTCAATACTTTGATATATTAATTCAAAAATCAAACTGTACAAGGTGATTTTATAGGATCCAATCTTCAAAAGGACAAAAAGAAATAAAAAAATCGGAACTAACTTAAACTTGTAGTGTGTTCTCTCAGCTTAAAGTTGGTCCATCCCCTATATATTATTAGTATTGCAATAATATCATCTCTTATCTTTGTGTTATTTACGTTGTTTCTATAACAAATATCGTATTATTAGTATTGCAATAGTAGTTAGTGTTGCCATGTTTTTATACAAAGTTTTCCTCCGTTCTGCAACTAAATAATCCTCTTTTAAGTACTTATACACTCTCTTAGATTTAAACTTCTTGCTCATATTATTCCAACCTTGCATCTGTTGAGTCGTGTCTCTTTATTTGATAATGGTTTCTAAGATCCACGAGCAATTCTGCTTCACCTGCATTGTCATCAATTGATCCTTATTGATGTAGTAACTGTGAATCCATTTTATCCACTAAGGATCAACAAATAATTTAGCCATGCTAACTCTATTCTACTAATAAAGAGAAATCAAGTTCATACCTCCTTGAGTTTTAGGTGCACATACTTAGTCTCATGCAACTGATGATTTTATAGTAAGTGCATCACCACCAGTTCATAAAAATGATCAGCATATGACATTGATTTTCAGAATAACCTTTTTGGGGAGGGACAAACATTGCATCTAATAATATGTAATTGCAAAAGTCACACTTTTGATAAGTTGCAATCTGCCAACACAACTTAACAACTCGGAACTCCAGATTTTTATCCTCATCACAATTCTATCAACCATGTTCATGTAGTGATGAATCGATAACTTCTTATTGGTAAAAGGCACTCTTAAGTATCTAAAGGGTATGGATCTTTCATCAAAGGAAGTTAAACCCTTAATCTCATCCTTAATATGGTACTCTACCACACCATAATATGCCTTGCATTTAAAAGGATTCACTTGGAGATCTGTTGACCTAGAGAATTCTTTTAATTTTTCCATCACCAACTCAATGGATCTAGTATCTCCTCGAGTGAAAATAAGGAGGTCGTCTGCAAAACTTAAGTTGATAATATGAAACTTCTCACATTTAGTTTAGAAGTTGAAGTCAGGTACCTTTTTAAGTTTCTGTAGGGTTTTGTGCAAATATTTCATCACTATCACAAAGAGCATGAGAGATATTGAATCTCCTTGCCTTAAGCCTCTTTTAGCCTTTATAAACTTGGCATGCTCTCCTTGTATGTTGAATTTATAAGACACTGATATTACAACCAAAAGAATCCATTTGATAAACTTTGCTTGGCAGGCCAACTTCCTTTAAAATTTGCTGTAGAGCATTCCAATCCATTGTGTCATAGCTTTTTTGAGATCAAGTTATAGCATGCATTTAGGTGTCCCTCCTTTCCTATTGTATCCTTTTATCAAGATGTGGTCATGCACGTGTTTCCTTGGCACAAAGGTTGCCTGACTTTGGTGGACTATACTGCCAATTGCTTTACTCAATCTATTAGTTAAAACCCTTGAAATAACTTTATAGATTGTACTGTAACAAGAGATTAGGAATGTCAACGGGGCAGGGAATGCGCGGAGGATGTTTCTCCACTCCCCGCTCCATCCCCTAATATTTTCCCCATCCCTGTCTCCAATCCCCGCCACAGGGGAATATTTTTCCCCACCCCCATACCTATAGAGAATCGGAGATCCACGAATATCAAATCATGAAAGAAAATTATATATTCTACATTTTTTTAATAAATAAAAACACATATTGAATCAATAATAAACAAATGCAAAAGCACTTGCAGTTACAAAACATAACTAATAATTTATTAATTGAACAAAACTCAGCTTGATAATTGGAGTATATAAATTGATGTTGAAGAGTAATTACCATAAACACAATGAACAAATGAGAGTGATTGTTTTGATGATGGTGATGATGAGAATATAGGAGATGAGGAATGGAGGAGACAAAGATAATTGAGAAAAGAAGAGGAGGAAATGGTGTATACATTGTATGTATTGGGTGCACTTTTCTAGTATGAGGCACTTCAATGGTAAACCAATACATTATACAATAAAACAAAAAATGATCCATTTATGGCTCTTCGTTTTCTAATATATTAATTAATTTTTTATAAAATAAACATGTCAAATTATATAATTATATAATATAAATTTTAATATTATGGTCAGGGTCGGGGAATTTGCGGGGCAGAGGGTACTTCTTCAATCCCCGCCCCAAAGTATTATCAGAAGAACTTTTTCCTCCATCCCCGTCCCCGCGGGGGATAAAATTCCCGACTTCGGAGCTCCAAACATATAATCCCCACATGGATCCCTGTTAACAGATG